GGGGGTGGCGGGGGAGGGGGGGGCAGTGGGGGAGGGCGAAGAGGGACGCCACCCTCCTTCCAGCGACCTACCCTTTGCTCGCTCAACACATACACACATGTACACGTGCGCGAGCGCGTACACATGCACACGTACGAACTTGCGGCCGTAGCTTCCTTAGAACAAGGGGGGATAATAAGATCTGCGACAATCAACCCCAACGACGACGACGCCGTCATGACGCTCTCTCGGACGAGCTTTCAGGCGACGTCCGTCACGTTACGTGCACATCTACCCCTCTTCACTCGTTCACTCCATTCTCTCGCCGTTCTCTTCGTCCCCCTTTCCTTTGCCTACACATGCCTACCTCTCGGCCTCTACATATATCCTGATTTCAACATCTATCTATATCCGTCTCCATCCTCATCATCCGTTTCTATCTTCGGCCTCTTTCTCGTGGTTCTCTCCTCTTTGTCCTCGCGTCGTCTTGTCTAACTCGCCCACGTCACGTCCCTCCCTAGCCTCCTTCGAGCTTCTTGCTCTCGCCACTACGGTGTACTACGAGGTAGGAAGCTATCCAGTTTCCACGACCGCCTTCCCAGCACGATTCGTCAACAATACGTTTAAGACACGCCACTGCAACACCGTCCTTCGTGGATCTCATAACGATAACGCAATCGTAAAATTTCAATATTTTGAAAATTATTCTGCTTGTACAAGACTAGAAAACGATATATTGAGCGAGTTATTTTTTATTTGATTTAATTTTTATTCTCTCTCATCAAATAAAATATATTTATCGTACAATTAGTAATTTAATAGGTAATGTAAGTTTTAAGCCAGATAATAATAATAAGTGAATAAGTAATATTTACATCCAATGCCTGTAATGGCGTGGAAGGAATTAAATAGCCTTCCATAAAAACTAACACAAGGATACAATCTATATAGCTTCTGCTGGAGTCTGATCTGCTAGATATCTTTCATCATATTTTCCCCGAATACCATTCCTACTTTGTCTTCTTAAGGGGCAGCTTATCCATTACAAGATAGGTCGTCATAAAGACCGGATATCTATTAGGATTAAAGTCGTATGTCACGTGAAATTGTTATGATCGTCGTTAGCGAAGCAAATTACGTTCATTTTTATGCCAGAAAGGATGTGCCGAGCAAATCAGCTTTGTTGCCTTTAATAAACCTGCCGACGAAGCAGGAAATTACTTGTATCTTATTAAATTTTTTTTTCTCGTAATTGTTTTTTTCTCTCTCGTTCTCATATCTTTTATGCCGTAAAGCATTTCAGAAAGAAAAAAGTCGACTTTTAATCTGAAAGAATCACTTTAAGATTTTTACTGAAATTTCCAGGGCATTCTCTATCTAGAGTACAGATCGTTTCTACAATTATCTGGACAAAGCCAAAATTATACTTTGCTGATTGAAATTTGTATTTCACACTTCTGTACCTTTTTCTCTACATATGAGAGCCACGTGGTAATATTCCACACGTATAGCATGAACGCTCGCGCGATATATGGCCGGACGAAAGAGACTAAGCCGAGATGTCCGACCGGCGGTTCGGTAAACATGACAAAGACTCATAGATCAGTCGCTGATCCGTGCTGCCGAGCTGTTCTTACCTCTCGCAGGACGGACCGCAACGTTAAGTACGGTGACCGGCAAGCATGGATTGTGTTGGTCGAGTCGATTGTGTGTAAGTGCCTCGAAAGGAGAGGAGGGGAATAGAATTAGGCGAGGAGGTGCCGGAGAGGTTGAGCAGCAGGGTGGCGGCGGGGTGGAAGGAAGGAAGGCAGTCCGAGTGGAGTGAGGGACTCGAGGGGTTGCGGGAGGCTGGAAGGAGCTAACCGCATCGTAATCAACGTAAAATGGCGTCGGGAACAGGGAACGGAGAACGGAGGAGCCTCCTGAGGTCGTGCCGCCATTGTTGATCACCCTCACCCTCGTATAATACGTGCTATACGGTTCACCCAGGGATGCACTCTCCGTGGGCACCACGCCGAAGTTCTTACGCTCGGCGAAATTTTATATCACGTTCGGATACGAATACGAAACATTTTACGATCGTGTAAAAGTGAGATTTCGAAATATAACTTGAGATTTCGATGTTGAGTGCTTGTGCGATGAGACTAGACAATCTAAATCCTTATATAAAGAAATCCATCTTGTTTAGGTTACTATCAACTTCATATTTTACATTTGCAAAAGTAAAAATGAAATTTGATACCCTTTTGTTCAATTATTTTAATTAAAATTTGAAATTTTATTCTTCGCGTAAAGATACGAGTAATTATAATGCTGTAGCTAGATTTTGCATTAAGTATTTTCGCGCCCTTTTATTCCTCGAGATGAATAGGAGTATCTGATTCCATAATGCTGTTCCGCTCGACGGTTCATTTTGTATTTTACGATAAATCCCCAGTTCGCGAGAAAGCGCGCCTCGCCATCCGAAGTTGGATTCGACCCTGCGGGATGCTCGGCAAGTCGTAATAAATTACGCAGAAGTGGAGCCGTGAGCGGAGATTACTGGCCCGGTTTCTCCCACCATAGCATAGCGGCAGCCACCGGCTCCTATTTCACCACCAACCACTCCCCTTTTCACCACCGCCTGCACGATGGCGATGGCAGTTTCTCTTAAGCCCCCGCTTGCCTGCCTGCCTGCTTCTGCAATTTTGACGGGCGCACGCCAAATGCGACGCTAATGAAATCGACTCGCGATTCGCGCTGCGGATTCAACGACACGGAAACTGCTCCGCAACGTTATACGGAGGTACATTTCAATCATGCTATATGATCTCGTTCTCGCTTCCAGTGCTTCTATTATACTGCTCCAGTATTATTCAATGTTCTTTCGAGCGATAACATTCTCAAATAAATGGTGAAGATATGAATAACGTGTAACGTCGTCGATGTTTAACTCACTCATAATTCTTAATATTTTTAATCCATTTAAGTCACAGACAATTAATTTGACATGAATGATTTAATCGTGAGTATACAATAAAAAATCGCGACTTACGACAGTCCTGACATTTAGCCATAACAAAATGCAAACATCGATTTGAATACATATTCAATATATTTTGAATATAGCCGAGCGTTTTTCTTTCAACAAAAAAAAAAGTACGAGGATAGATTCGTTTGCTCTGGAACATACTCGAGAACGGCGCGGCGAATTAACAAGCCTCTCGTGATTTCGAATCCGTCCGCAGCGAGCGTCGCCAACAAAGTCGGAGTAATTCGGATTGGCTGCGCGCGGCAGATCGCATAAAAATTCAGGGAAGTACTCTCTGAACGGTTCATTTCACCCGGGCTGATCGTGTTCGACTCAGCCTCGAGGGCAACATACATTATGGTGTGCTGACTGCCTACCATCTTCTCCGATAATGCAATTTAATCCCGAGAATGATATAAGGAACGCTTTTGTGCTACCCGCGCTGTTCTCGGAATACGTATTCCTCCTTTCTCTTCGAAATTGCGCGAGTTGCACGAGTGAGATTTAAACGCGTTTTCTAATTCCCGGGACTGCGGTACTTTGTTCACGATAGTCGTATCAGTCGTATCAACAAGATTATGAGACAGAAAAATTTAGTTAAATGGGATTTCTCTTAATATAACCCAAAAATATAGTGCGTCGAGTTTCTTTTATGGGAGAAAGAAAATTACAAACGACATTCTTGTGTTTTCGTATAAAATAAAATAAAAATTTGAAATTATTCTCCATTATTTTCAATTTATCTCTCTCGATAATTTTAGTCTTTATCAAAATTTAGGTCCTAAAATAGCATTTATAAATCATTATAATTTTATGCAATTGATTTTTTTAGGCACAAATAAAAGAGATATGATCAAATGAATCGGAATAACTATTACAAAACTATATTACAAAAGAGCAAAAAGATCATCTACAGCATAGAGGCACAAATACTTCAACTACATCGATTCTTCTACCTTATCGATGGAATAAAAAACACAAATGTTATTTCAAAATTCAATGACTGCAGTCTAATGACTGCACCAGAAAATACGTTTCATTGATCGATAAGCTATCTTCGGGAACAATTTTATTAATAAAATCAACTGAAGATAAATCATTGGCCATGATACCATACGATGCATTATACTGACTGCTGGTACTATTGCTAACTATTCTAATCGATAATATAACTTCTGTAGGAATATGCGATATAATCACAGGGGGAGGGGGGAGGAGTATAATACAAAATACTTCCTCTAAAAATTACTGAAAAACAAGTGATTAAAAACATTCTTCTAACAGAAAATAATTATTTAATTTAAAAAAAAGTATATTCTCTTCTTAGACCTTCCTAATACTATATCCATTAAGAATATAGATTAAAATATTTCATGACAGAAGAGAAAAAACAGCTTTGAATAAAACTGGAAATAGATTATTATTATTATAATATTTATTTAAATATATCTAATTTCTATTTAGAAAGAGTACAGTATCATCCCATTGCTTGGATATTATTGCACTTGCGGAATAATGCGGATAAGTTCCTGTGTTTCAAATCCGAGCAGAAGAGCTTAAAAAAATAATTATTTCATGTTTACAGGCTAAAAGCATGATCTGATTTCTACTGGCTAAAAGCATATATGATTTGATCTCTTCTTCTTTCTTATGGCACCTGCTCGCAAACGGAGGTAAGCCGGCCAAAATCTTATTTGATGAGGTTCTTGAGCATGATCTGATCTCTACTGGACCACGTTTCGTTACGAACGTACGTGTTCGAATAACCCGCCACGCGTTACTACAGACAGTATGGCGAGCCGTACGCTCGCAACAGCGACTCATCCGACGGCGTGCTGTACCTCGTAAGATGACAGATCGATAAGTAACACGTCGTGGTCCACGAGTCGGTGTGGTACGTCGAAAAAACGCATCACGTGTTGATAAGGTTAATCAACAGCGATAACGCGTCGCGTTCCTCAGTAGATCGTCGCGAGCTCCCGCAGAACAAGGTACGTCTTTACCGCCCTGTCAAAGTTTTTTTTTTCACCGAATCCCGAGCTTTATTAAAATCCGCCGCCACGTAGCACGCCGTCTTCCTTCTGCGTGCCTCACAGACGAACAGCTGACACGGCACAGCCGGGCCGGCGCCGCTATAGCCACCCGCGAGCAATCGTGCGCGCGCGCCCGCGTCGCATCGTATCGTTAACGGCGCTATTACGAATCGTGTATCGCTAGCGGCTAGATATAATGATACGTATTCATACCTCACTTTTATCAATAAATGCGCTCGTTTATTTTTGAAATTCTATAGTACATGTAACATAAATTGTATGCTAAATGTGCGCCAACATCGTTATAAGCGTATTCCGAATATACACCAATGTGTGTGCGACGTATTAAATGAAAAATGTAATATCCGGCCGGAGAGTCTTTAAACGTGTTGACGTGGAACGATGACGACGCTGTGTCATAATTCGCTAACGTTTTTCCTTAACGAGCAGAGCTCCACTGAAATTTCTATGGGATTTTTATAATTTCTTCTAATTCTAGGAATTTTTACGGAATCTTTGATACGTACCGGGAACTAATTAAATGAAAAAATTACTTTTTCTATTTTATTTGGTATCTTTGATTTATGAAAAGAGAGAAAGAAAGAGAGAAATCAGTTTTAAAATGATTATGATTTTTTACCGAAAGAGTCTTTCACAATACCTGCGGTCGCATCCGCGTTCAACTTTCTCTTATTCATAAAAAGTAGATAGATCTACTACCTACTGCAATTAGCAGCAGATGTTCTGTTGAACATCTGTATTATTATATAACAAGTCATAAGATATATCTACTGGTCTATACCGATACTTAAAAAAGACACCAATGTTTATCCGAGATATCTGTTTGTGTGCTAAAATCTCATATCTGACCGACACTATTTTGGACAACAATTCGACTTTTGATTGAATTAATAATTTAATTTTCAATTGTTTATAACTCGTAAATATTGTTATGTTAACCTTTCCACATTTTTATTAGCCCTAATTGGTTATTCGCTTCAAAATTTCCTTAAGTGTTATTCGCAGATCCAATATTAGACCTGCGAATCAATTAATTTTTGCCTTTCCTTAACCCTAATCGATATTAACGGATCCAGCGGACATTTTTTTCAATTACGCACCACGTCTCCAGATAGCATTGCGAAAAATTGTTTATAACAAACGTTTTCATAATTTTAAGTTACGTAATCTTATTCCTCGGATTTTGACCTTTAAAAAATTAATTACGTTAATTTTAAGCAAAGATACATATTAATTTGAAATTTTGTCGAATACATATATGTATATTCGTAATAAAATTATGCAAATTATGAAAATTGTGAAAAACATTTGTTACAAACAATTTCTCACAATGCTATCTGGAGATGTGGCGCGTAATTAAAAAAAAAAGTGCGACTCCACTGGATCCGTGAATATCGATTATAAGATTAAGAAAAGGCAAAAATTAAAAATTACAGATAGAGATACTAAAATTGTAGATAAAATATAATCTGAATATAATCAGAAAACATAATCTGTATATTAAATATTCGTAGCGTGTTTCTAAAAACACAGATCGAAATCGCGAATGTAAGCCAAGCATATTTAGATTATCGTGTGATTAAACTCGTACATTATACAAATAGAAAAAGATAGAGAGGGAGAGAATAACATTTATCACTAATCGATTAACCTTTATTAATCCTAATAAATTATTAAACGTCTCCCTTTGTGCAAATCTAAAATATTAGTTTGATATACTTGTGCTCTGAAGTATCAATACTCGATTATATTGATAACATTACGTTATCAATATGATAACATTTCGTATTATTTGTACGCGTACAGATCGTATCATTTATACGCGTATGCGTTTTATCATTTGATAAAGGAAACGAGTATTCAATCTTATAAGCTGGATAATGCAAACTGCAAACAAGATCTGTTTATTGTAACGTACAGAAATTTTTATTGTATTCTTACAGTACCTCTAGAGACAGCACGAGAGCAAATATCTTCAGTGCAAGAAACTCGTAAAGATAAAACATATTAGGTCAATATATTGGATCGTCATATTGTGCGGCACTGATCGTTCGATTTCCGATGGCAGCAGCAAATGCAATTATGCCGTCATACATTAATGGCTTTACAAATCTTATTCAGCTTATAATGCCGTATTAACTCGTCACTAATTTCACGACGTGAAGCAGATTCGTTATGCGGTTCGCGTTGCGAGCCACTTCGCCGCGTGTACATATTAAACGTCATTTCCATCAAATGCCATTCCCAGAATTAAAGGGCGAGCTCGTACTCCGCGGCCTCAATGAACGTTTGAATAAGAGCACCGGTAGTAAGCCTCGAGAGATAAAGGCTTTACACGATAATGAGATTTAATCGTGAAAAATTTATTATGTACTTTATTATTTTATTATTGCTTGCTTTCCCCTTATCTTGTAAAAAGGGGTCGCTTTTTGAATTATGCGGGGGTGATAGCACGTCTAATTATCAATTATTTTCTTGTAAATATTCTCGCATGTCTCGCCTTTTTTCTAAAAATTATAAAGTTATAAAAATCACATCGACAATGCAATTTATAATATCTTAATACATTTCAAACGTATTAAATATTATTTAAACGTGTATGTATTTCTGAAAATATATTTTATATATTTTTATTAGCTATTCAACTATACCTACATTCTTGCACATATACGCTTTAAATTATTTAAATATATGTAAAGAGAAATTGTGTAATATTATATTGCTAATTACATAATGCCTTCTGAATGTGTTTCTTGTTACGTAATCATAGTTATATCAAGAATAAGAGGTTTAAGTTGAAACTGTGTAGTTGTATTGCTGCAGGCATACTCCCACTCAATCCATTTCCTGTAGCTCAACTTGAAACAATATCGTAATTACCAACGAAGTTACCAAAGCACAGCATTTAATCGTTCAATAAATGCAACGGCATAAATTCATAGACTAATTATGAAAATGATTACCACAAAGGAATTTATCAAAAAGATATGACGCGAATTATCACGTAACATTCGGAATAATTGGATGAAACGTTCCGAAGTTTTAGATTCAACGCATTTCCTGTATAGCTCAACTTGAAACAGTAATTACCAAACGAAGTTACCAAAGCATTTAATCATGCGATAAATCGTGCAACGGCATACATTCATGTAGGCTAATCATGGAAATGATTATCACAAAGGAATTATCAAAAAGATATAATGCGAATTATCACGTAACATTCGGAATAATTGGATGAAACGTTCCGAAGTTTTACAAGGTTTTCTTATGTCTCTACGTAGGTGGCTGTTAAAATGTCCCATCAAGCTAACGGGGCTCGTATCGCCGAGGTGGATGACCTTGTGCCTATCTTGACACCCACCGCCGATATTTCACCGCGATTGAAGACCTTGGCCACTCATTTCACCTCCAAATACAATGTGAAGCCTTCCTTTTTCGTTCGAGTGCCAGGAAGGTAAATTGTATTTTAATAAAAAATTGGAAAAATTAAAGCCCTTCCTTTAAGTCTTAGCAAGCACTTAACACGAAATTAATTATATAAGATATTATATAATAATACATACGAATACTATAATCGTCGGCTAAATTTATATCTTAATTTTGGAAACGGAGCACTCAAGTTTTTATTGAGATCGCTTTTAGAAATTCTATAATTTAAGTTATTTTGGTAACGATAAATGTATTTACGATTATTTCTGTTCTGTTATAGAGTGAATCTGATAGGCGAGCACATCGATTACTGCGGATATTCCGTCTGTCCAATGGCCATTGAACAAGACATCCTCGTTGCGATGACATTATCGAATGACAGTGAGATTCATCTCACCAACGTGGATCCTAAGTACAAGGACTTTCGATGCAGTTTCGAGAACACCGGGTGAGCGTGTAATTTGTGATAAGAGTCTAAGTTTATTCGTAATATTATCTAATTAATAGTTTAGACGAGTTTGAGGATTAACTTTATGATAATTTGCAGAAACTAAGTGACATGCATTCGTTTTGAAGAAAACTTTCCCGAGTTTACTAAGATCTTGCTTGATATACATCGCGTCTAATATATAACACACTTGCAGTGTACTGCACCGCACGTGGCATATAATGTAACATATCTCCATAATGCACTGTCGTGCTCGCAGTTGTGGCCTCAGGCACTTATAAGCACTTATAGACCCCTAACAATTTAAGCCTGCTGATCCCTTACCGCAGGCATCTTGGATTAATGGACGCTGAAACGAGAATTATGTGCGATTTATCTCAACAGCGTACGTGCATACGCATTTGGCTGATGAGATAAAATCCCCTTTCATTTTGCAATTAAATTAATTTAAATGTATGTGAGATTTTGTTATTTCACGATGAAAATCTGGTAAGTAAAAAAAAAAAGTAACGGATGACCGATGGACCTCTCGTGCTACGCGTAATATAAGAAAAGCAAACGACATTGTGCTCTCGCGCGTAACCTCGCGCTCTCGTTTGGATTAAATTACCTCCGCGCTTTCTTTGCTCCCGGTATAATACCGGAGGAAGATAATATGAACTTTCTTAATCTCATTCATTATTCAATGTCGCGCAACCGTCGGATAGAATATAACTCAAGTAACAGGCTTAACGTACCATTATCGATTTTCCGATTTTTCTGTCACACACGTACACGTTAATTTTTACGCGATAACAGACTAGGGTATAAAAGGCTAAATATAAATAAAATATCTGATAATACTCTAATAATATATTCCCCTCGCAATCCCATCGTTAAAATTAAATTTCTATAAGCATATAATCGCGCATTTCAGATCTTGCATTAGTGATAGCGAGGGCGGGCCGGCGTGGTACAAATATTTTCTGTGCGGCGTAAAAGGGGCGCTGGAAGTAATCCCGGCGGAGTCGGTTCCAACGGGAATTCTGGTTGCGATATGGGGAAACATTCCCCCTAATTCTGGCCTCTCCAGTTCCAGCGCGCTGGTCTCGGCCGCGCTCCTCTCGATCGTGCACGCTAGTCAGGTGAGCGATTTAATTATTCTTACGCGCGAAACGTTTAGCATTATCATAATTTCCGCCCCGTATTACGAAATAACGTCACTGTATGTTAATAATGTCGTCTAAAAAAATAATTAACAAACGGTGTGCTGAACCGTGAATGTCGAAGCGAGAGTTCACAAATTACATTTTTAGACTTTGATTGGCTCTGGAAATGTTTTCCACTTTGATGCAAAGTTGCCGGCAGTTCTTTCGCATAATTCTCCAATTAGATTTTTCAGCAGACTTGTATTTTAACGAACGATGTAGAAATGATATCGCGATGTGTTTGTCGATATCACAAGTACTAAGTGCTGAAAGGTATTGTGTTTGGCCGAGTGAATCAAACTACCGATCACTACTTCGTATTGCGCTCTTCCATTACTTACTTCTTCCGCACTCTCGGATATAGATCCTATTTCTTTTGAAATAGTTTCGTGTTTCATGTTTACTCGACTGGATATCGGATGCGACATAGCTACCGCGAATCTTTGAGATACTTCTTTAATTCTTTGTTCGTGCGTCATCATCTTAAATACATATACTTCTTGGTATGTGTAAATCTTTTCTGCAAATCTTATAACCAGATTCCTTTTGTCCGACAGTTTCCATTTTAAATTTACTCCACAAACTCTCTGTTATTTTATTCGGATCACGAATACATATTTTATATTGTATTCTATATGGTATGTACATTATTACCTCTTTTTAATAAATTATCAATATAAATTATAGCAATATAAATTATAATTTATATTGATTATCTCAAATATTATTATTCAGGCTGTTTGTATATTATAGCGTCAGTTGTCAAAGCATGAATTGGCGAATGTTAGTGCTCGAGCAGAGAGACACATCGGCACTCAAGGTGGCGGAATGGACCAGGCCATCGCTTTTCTTGGAAAAGCTGGTAATTCTTCGACTTTTATTAATCATATCGCGAACTAAATTATCAGAATAAAATTTTATAAAAGATATTTTAAATAATTAAATACGAAGAAAAATCTCTCATGGATTAATCTATTTATAATTCGCCAGAACTGCTTGATCACGAAGTTAAGTACGAGACTTTTATATTATAGAATTATGTTAAAAAGACTAAAATCTCATTTTTTTCGCGATATTGTCTGTTCGTTCGTAAAGGTTCAGCTAAGTTGATAGAGTTTAACCCTCTGCGTGCAACCGACGTAACATTGCCAGAGAACGCAGTGTTCGTAATAGCGCATAGTCAAGCGTATCACAACAAAGCCTCAACCGCCGACTACAATCTCAGAGTTGCGGAATGCCGATTAGCCGCACAGGTATTTATATATTTTTTTTTTCATAATAATGTGGTATCTTCCAAGAAAAGGAATTTTCGTTGGATTAACTTTATTATATATTTTCGAATTTAGAACATAACGCAATTGTACGATCCAATTTAATTTCTGGATTTAGTTTCTTTGAATCAATCTTCTTGGTTCCAATATTGCGAAATCCTTTAAACATCCGTAAAATAAGCGCAAAAAAATTATCCAAAGAATAAGATTCTTTTCCCGACGTACGTTTTACGTTTCGCGCTCGTTGCTTTTTCGATGGACATTGATCGATGCGCTTCGCATTTATTCAGGGCATTTTCTAACTCATTCCTTCCCTAATTCTATTTCCTCAGCTTTTTCTTCCTCCCCAAAAGATATTCTTCCTCATCCAATGTAACAATGTAAGAGGAGATATGGGAAAGGTTTTACGAAAGTACGTTATTGTTTATTTACGATCCCACATTGTACAGTCTCCCTTCTCCCGACCGAGCAGTGAAATCTCTCTTTTGTGTTTAGATGATAGCCAAGAAAAGAAATATGAATTGGGAGCATGTTCAAAGATTAATCGACATTCAAGAGAGGCTCGCCTCGGACTTGGACGAGATGGTTACTATAGTAATGACAGAACTGCACGAAGAGCCTTACACTTTTGATGAGGTACACATTACGCAATAAATAAAGAGACCATGATTTTCTCCTACACAGTTTTTCAACGGGAGGTGGAGAGGGAAAGGGGAGGCCATAGATCGTTCTAGGGATTATTAAAGAAACCGCGCCACAAAAAAGGGAACTTCATAAATCACGCTATAAAAGATGATGAAAGATGATTAAAAAAAAAATGCTCCATGCAATTTATTCAATCATGTTAAATAACTTAATGTCGGGCGAATGTCTTATCGTTAACGGCGAATCACACAGGGCCATTATCGATGGAATATAAATTTTTCCCGTAGATCTGCGAGAGCCTCGGTACGGATTACGAACGATTGAAGAAAACGTCTCTCGTCAGTTCCTTTAATATCTCGCAAACGTTCAAGCTGCGGCAGCGGGCTCTGCACGTTTTTCAAGGTAAAAGCATCAATTTTCATGCGCAAGTAAATCGCAAAACGCGATTTTAAATCCGATAAATCAAGAGAGAGCTTAAGCCCTTCTCTGTTTTTACCAGCCAATATATTCTTAACTTTTTCCGCGCGAGCGAAGGCCACGCTACATTTCCCCGCGAATTTCACGCTCATTGAAAGAAAAAAAAAACCGTTCGAAGATGGGCTATTAAAAAGTTAGGAGTTGAACTTCGTTTCGTTCCATTAACTGCGTTATAAAAGTAGTTAAGTATTTTCCATCTTATCTCTCGTTACCAACAGCATAAAAGCAGTGCGAAAAGTTGCAGATCGAATATCCGAAGTAACGGCATCTCCTGGTCGTGCACGAAACCGCACCTTGGTGATCAATCATATACATGCATTGTTCCACGCTACAAGCGCTAGAAGCTATAAATTATCTTGCCGGACGTATGTCGATTGCGACTTCTAAACGGTTCTGAAAGCCGATCCCGAACTTGATCAAATGCCGCAGAAACTTAAAATCGTACAGAGAACAAAAAATAAAGTTCTGGTCGCGAAATATTAAAAATTCAGACTCACGCAATTTTTTTTCTTCAATTTTAACTGTCCCTTTTCCAACAGCGAACTCTACGATGAGACGCGCGCGTATTAATTAACGTCGAATCGATTAGCGTCACGTTAAACACTCTGCAAATACCTGTTAAATGTTATACTGAATCATCATCATGTCGAAAAGCGCGGTGTTCATTATCACGATGTGGCCGGTAAACTCGCCTCGATTAACTGCACCGCTGCTTTTACACCGCAGAGGCCGGCAGAGTGCTCGCGTTCCGCCGTATAAACGAGGAAGGCAGCATAATGAAACACGAGAAGGTTCAACATCTAGGCAACCTGATGTCGAAGAGCCACGCCAGTCTCCATAAACTGTACGAGTGCAGCCATCCTAGCGTGGATGCGCTCGTCGAAAGAGCCGTACTTTGCGGCGCATTCGGCGCTCGGCTCACAGGGGCTGGGTAAGTATATTATTACACCGAGTTAAACATAACATGTACTCGGCAAACTATGAATTACATGTAAATTTAATTTTCTGCCGTGCCAGACGCAGACAAAATGCCTTTTGTGACGCGTGGAACTATATCAGATATTACATCAAAAATATATTCAATTATTATTTCACGTTATACACGTACATATTATTTTTCATTTTTATTGCTTCATTACGAGAGTAAAATCGTTATTGCAGTTGGGGCGGTTGCATCGTGGCTATCATCGATAAAAACGGAGTTCCGCAATTCGTCGAGGCTCTGCGAGCGTATCTGTGTCAGAACAGTACAAAAGACCGAGCGGAACTCGAAGATATGGTGTTCCCGACGTCACCGAACCAGGGCGCTATTATTTACACTGCGTCAACGCTATTCTGAATCGTAAACCCGCGCTACAATAAATAAATATAGTGGCTTCCCCTTGGTCCGCGTCGTCACACCGTCCCTTTATTGACATTCCATTATTTTCTCCTGCTCACTTCACCACCCTCTTTTTACTCGGGCTTTCTTTCATCGCACGTCACAAATTTTAATTGAATGAAAGAATGCCACACCTGCGCCACTCGGCGTTCCTTTGATATTTTTGACGCTCGAACCCACCGCGAATGGACAGTGTACTATTTTTAAGTTTACTTTACTCGTCCTTACTATTTAATCGCTATATGAATCCTGTTTATTGCAACTGCATTAAATCAAATCTATTAAATAAAGTGTCTAATCGTACATTATGATATTATCGAAGCAAAGATGATAATCCCTTATAATTATATGTTAGATATTAATGTTAGAACTTGTATATCTCCTTTCGATGATTCCTATATAAATATATATATAATACATGCAACGAGTTGTAATTCGCTATTCTAAAAATGTACCAAGTATATAGTTAATCATACGATAAATATAATAATAATAATATGATAAATATATAATAATAATATAATAATTAATCATACGATAAATATAAATATAATAATTAACATAAATGATTATAGATTTGTAATATCTTTTTGTAAAAAACAATTATAAATAAATAATTCGTAATAGAATATATCTCTCTTAAATAATTTTAATTGAATTAAGAGATAAGACATGTATAAATCATTTTTAGATTCTCTTTTCCTGCTATCTTTTCGCTTTTTTTTACAATGAACTAAAATGAAACTATGCTAATAAATTACGACGAAAGTAAAGTAATAAACAAGGAGAAATTTACCGGAAAAATTTTAATTATTTTATTTCCAACGTTAAATCACCCCAGCTGCATACTACGTGATGATGAAATGCAATATATTCACAAAAATATTTTATCATAACTTATATTCGTTATTTTATTATATTCTACACACCTTTCTCAAATATATTAATTAAAACAAAATAAAGGATAACGTGGCAATTTTTTTAACAACTTCACCGTGATTTATTATTTATAAAAACGTATTATACGGTCAAACGCACACGTACGTAATACTCAAACGTACGTAACGCGCCGTATGAAAAATGTAAAAAATTTTTTCTGCGATTTAACATGCAACGCGTAATAGCGGTAACTTAATGTTGGGCGAAACATTAAACAAGCGAAAATTTTAAACATAGATGCGGTTAATTACCATTTCAGTTTTAGCCATTCGGAACACGCTTTCATATCTCTTCGTGCGTTTCACAGAAGACATCTCTCTCTGAAAATTCCAGGAATGGTTAGCGAGTATATGCTATACCTGACTTCATTTTCTTGATATACATATTTTCTGCATAACGCTGTTTTAATGAACCGTGTGATACAAGATCTCTGTGATGTTTTCTGAACTATCACATGGAAAAGCATATACTATAAAAGGTAAAATTGAAAAAATATCCAATTATGCACGGAAAGACCGATTTTGTTGAAAGACCTAAAAATTTTATTAAAAACAGATCTGAAAATAATTTTTTATTGAATAATTAAAATAATTTGTTGGAATGTTAAAACTGA